TATATACGGCTTGTCAAACATGGTAGTGTATTCAGAAAAGTGATCATATGTATCAGTACACTGCAAAATGAGGTTAAATGAAAACAAATTATTCATGCAGGAAGTTCAATTCATCTAATGTACGATATACCTTGCTCTTTCTTAGCCTCTACTTGATGCAAACAACGAAAACGAGTTGTGTACACAAGTGTGTACATGGCATCTGTAATGGTTAAGCAGTGACACTGCGGCTTCAAATGTCGAGATGGGAGAAATTTGCAATTCAGGAGAGCTTTTGCTTGTGACCTATACGGCTTGTCAAACATGGTAGTGCCTTCAAGAAAGTGATCATATGTATCAGTACACTGCAAAATGAGGTTAAATGAAAACAAATCACTTATGCAGGAGGTTCAATTCATCTAATGTACGATGTATCTTGCTCTTTCTTAGCCTATACTTGATGCAAACAACGAAAACGGGTGGTTTACACAAGTGTGTACATGGCATCTGAAATGGTTAAGCAGTGACACTGCGACTTCAGATGTCGAGATGGGAGAAATTTGCAATTCAGGAGAGCTCTTGCTTGTGACCTATATACGGCTTGTCAAACGTGGTAGTGCCTTCAGAAAAGTGATCATATGTATCAATACACTGCAAAATGAGGTTAATTGAAAACAAATTATTCATGCAGGAAGTTCAATTCATCTAATGTACAATATATCTTGCTCTTTCTTAGCTTCTACTTGATTAAAATAACGAAAACGAGTGGTGTACACAAGTGTGTACATAGCATTTGTAATGGTTAAGCAGTGACACTGCGGCTTCAAATGTCGAGATGGGAGAAATTTGCAATTCAGGAGAGCTTTTGCTTGTGACCTATAAACGGCTTGTCAAACATGGTAGTGTCTTCAGAAAAGTGATCATATGTATCAATACACTGCAAAATGAGGTTAAATGAAAACAAATTATTCATGCAGGAAGTTCAATTCATCTAATGTACAATATACCTTGCTCTTTCTTAGCCTCTACTTGATGCAAACAACGAAAACGAGTTGTGTACACAAGTGTGTACATAGCATCTGTAATGGTTAAGCAGTGACACTGCGGCTTCAAATGTCGAGATGGGAGAAATTTGCAATTCAGGAGAGTTTTTGCTTGTGACCTATATACGGCTTGTCAAACATGGTAGTGCCTTCAAGAAAGTGATCATATGTATCAGTACACTGCAAAATGAGGTTAAATGAAAACAAATCACTTATGCAGGAGGTTCAATTCATCTAATGTACGATGTATCTTGCTCTTTCTTAGCCTCTGCTTGATGCAAATAACGAAAACGAGTGGTGTACACAAGTGTGTACATGGCATCAGAAATGGTTAAGCAGTGACACTGAGGCTTGAGATGTCGAGATGGGAGAAATTTGCAATGCGGGAGAGCTTTTGCTTGTGACCTATAGTCACTGAGTTGTACTCTAAATGATGCCTGTGGCCAATATACTGTTGATTACAGGTGTACATATATACAATGAACTGATTGGATCACAACAACTTGCGACTATGTGATGTCATAGTAGTAAATTTACGACTAGTTCAAGTCATATCAGTGTGGCTTCGATTCAGGGCTAAGTAATGCACTATATTTTTGTTTCCACTATCTCCAGTTCGTGTCTCATCAGTGTAACTTCAATGTGAACACTCACATCAAGGCCAACATTACCTGTAGCAGGCAGATTTGCAGCAACATGATGTGGTTATCTCGAGCAATAGAAAATAACGGCACATACATGATGCGGTTAATACACATAAGACCATCAAGCTTCTGCATAAGTTTTAACTGCTTTTGAAAATGATAAAGCCAGTACATCAACTCTAGGTATTAGGAATGGACAAGATATAATGCGAGAGTGCCAACCCTTCTCAAAACAGGACACAGCTGATGGGTGAATATAAATATATGTGCATACAGAGACATAGCCAGGGTGGACGGATAGATCAAAATCCCCCTACCCCCAACACACACACCACAAGGAATTGCTCTATTTGCCCTTGTGTTCATGTATTTTTCATTTACGTGCATCAAGCAGAACACACTGATGTAGGCATGCCATGTGATGCTACATATAATTGTTTGCTGACACAGGTAGCTAATGAATTTCCATACTTGTGCATATCTTGACACCGTAATGCTTCTGTAGAAGTACTAACTGCTGATGCAGATGGTAAAGCCACTAAATAACATCAAGGAATTAGGGATAGGCAAATCGTAATGAAGAAACCAACCTTTCTCAAAATCCCCCTACCCCCAACACACACTACAAAGAATTGCTCTATTTGCCCTTGTGTGCATGTATTTTTCATTTACATGCATCAAGCAGAATTTACTGATGAAGGCATGCCATGTGATGCTACATATAACTGTTTGATGACACAAGTAGCTAATAAATTTCCATACTTGTGTATATCTTGGCACCATAATTCTTCTGTAGAAGTATTAACTGCTGATGCAGATGGTAAAGCCAATAATAACCTCAAGGAATTAGGAATCGAGAAGTGATAATGTGAGAGCCCCAACCTTTCTCAAAATAAGACACAGCTTACAGGCGAATAATAAATATAGGTGCACACAGCGGCATAGCCAAAGGGGGATGGTTGTGGCAGGTGGAACCCCACTATCCCCTGAATACACATTTTAAAAATCGCTTCACCTGTGTGTGCATATATTTCTCACTAACGTGAATGTAGTAGTGCTTATCGATGTAAGCGTGTTATGTGATTATACAGTTTGCTAAGGCAGGTAGCTAATACTTAGGCAAACTTGAGCAAAAAGAACCACGCCCTGACACTCGAAAAAGCACGTGTTTTCGCTACTTCGCTCACGTGTTTCCGAGTCAGCTATGTTAAATGTATACAAAAAGAAACAACAAGGCGGCCACCTACACTAGAAAAGATGTCTGCATTGTGAACTTTTTTGCTCGTTGTAGTGTTTTTTTAATGTCACCGTGACTTGATAGGGCCGTTGTTTGCGCTACATATAAATACATGTGCGAGAACGAGAAATTCCGGCGTTGCACACGTGTTGCTCAACTTAAGCTAGCACCGGCTTAAGAGTGCCCGCGGCCTCTTGCCCAAAACAAATTCCTAAATTAGAAAAACTGAAGCTCGCATAACAGCCACGTACCGCGGTAACAGCCTTGAACGAACGAGAACGCAGCTTGTGAGATAAAAGGAGCTCAGAGGCTTAACAAACACGTCGTTGGGCCATGCTTCTCTGCGATTAAAAAAGCTCGAAAAATTTGGTGGTTGCTATCGTGCATAGCTCAAGCGCAACCGTGTTTTGCCGGCATTTAAAAATCTCCAAATATAAAAAGGCTGATATCGTGAAGATGGAGTCGCTGAATAACAGGTGCTACGCGTACTTTCTCGGAAACAAAGGGCTTAAACGCCGTGTCGTTTGTAACCGTCGTAGCGCTGAGCTGTACGCATATCGTCGTTGTCTAAAGGGGTGGTTTTGTGCCGGATATCAAAAGACCGCGTTAATGAAAGAACAAAAAAAGGAGATGCTAATTTCATGCCTGAAGAATATGCAAACACTTCACTCATGTGCACTAGGGTTCATCGCCAGACAGGTAGAAAAAAACGGCGACCGAACCGTTATTAATCGTCAAATCGACGGAACAGATCCCGTTCGGGTGCTTCCAGCTGCCCCAACATCTTTCGTAATATTTATAGCTATAGAACATAGCCGTTTTCATTCACGCTTGCATGTCATTCCTTCTCAACGTTGAAATAACCCAATTGTGTCACTGGACTGACTCCGCAGCGACACATTTCAATGTTCGTTATTACTGCAGTACCTTTAATAAATAAACACGTAAGAAGTATTTTAGTGTCGGTTATTGAAGCACTGTGTTAATGACGTTAATGACAGCACAACAAACGGTGATGTAATCGACTCACGCTTGCATGTCATTCCTTCTCAACGTTGAAATAACCCAATTGTGTCACTGGACTGACTCCGCAGCGACACATTTCAATGTTCGTTATTACTGCAGTACCTTTAATAAATAAACACGTAAGAAGTATTTTAGTGTCGGTTATTGAAGCACTGTGTTAATGACGTTAATGACAGCACAACAAACGGTGATGTAATCGACTTCATGCCCGTAGTATTTTCAAACACAATTAACATTCAGTAGGATTCCTCGCCAGGCAGGTAGAAAAACGGCAACCGAGGTATTAAAATGGCGTTATTACTAATCGCTGAATCGACAGAAAAGAGAGCGTTTCAGCGCTTTCGACTGAGCGCCCATCTTTTTCAATATTTCTAGCGAAGGAACATAACCATTTTTATTCTCGCAAGATGGATCACGCTTGCATAGCGTCCTTGGCAATGTTAAAATAGTTTCACTGAAGTGCCCCCGTAGCGACAGATTACTCGGTCTTTGTTTTTGCTGCACCGTTGAACAAACGCGTACCCGTCGCATCAACTATCATTGTAAGAAAACAGAAAGCGCAAAAAAAGACTCGTAATACGTCTTAAGTACATCGCGAGCATTCGCTGCAGCTCAAAAATAACAAGACAGGTGCTTTATTTCAGGCAGAAACACTGTAAGATCGTACGGGGTTGCCGCAACGAATTTTCAAAATGGCGGCATCGCGTCCCTTCTTGATCACCGACAAAAACGAGTTTTTCACAGTGTCTCATGCAAAGACCACCAGCGCATGACTGTGAAACAGTGACCTCAAAATTTGTGCAATTATTTCTGATAGCTTGTCGGTATTGAACGCACAGTTAACGAGGCCTAAGCAAAATAATTCTCCATTGCACTATTTTTTCTTTGTTATTTTTTTATTGGTCGCGTTCGCCATGTTTGAAATTTTTTCCGACCGGCTTCCTCGTCTCCCTCTTCCTCCTCTATGCGCACGGCACGAAACGACGTTGTGCGCTCTGATAGGTCGAAATATGCGCGGGATATAAATCGCGGCTTTCCATTGGATCGTGCTACTACAAATGTGAGCCCCGTACCGAAAATTTGGTAGAGGCATCGGAGCGGTTGAGCGGGGTGATCTCAGTAGTGACGAAGACGCGAGTGGAGACGGCCGCATCGCGGTGAGCCGCGTTCCCACACGAATGAACACAACTCCTAGTCCAGAATAGGCCGGGTATTGTGAGGTTTTAGCGCGTTATTTTTGTATTTTGGTCAACTCTTTCTGCGCGAAGCTGTAGTTACTGCTAGTAATCTGTGGAGTTCTAAATTGGGGCGTTACTTGGCCCTTGCGGCAGCCACTTAATGAGGCGGATCTGTCGTGAATGCCGTCACGCAATTTGTTCGGCTAGTGCCAACGCCTGTCAAGATTTTCGGTGCATGCCGCTTGGGCACGACACGCCGGTCGGCAATGCAGCGCTGCCTACGTAGGAGTAAGGGTATTTGTACTTGGCCTTCAAGATCGGCACTTTTCACGTTTTCTACATATTTGCTTGTATTTCAATAGCATTTACCACCGTTGCGATTACTAAGACCGCCGTGTTTCAAGTGACCGCCGATAATCTGGCAGGCACGGAAATCTAAATGCGTTGCTAGTGCGCAATCTTGTGTTGGCTAGTCCGCCATGTTGTCCGCTTTGTTAGCCGCCATATTGTCTCGCCGGTTGCGAAGGCCTAACCCTTCCCCTCCCCCTTTTTCCTGTGCAGCCACGCAACGACCTCAAGCAAGATGGGGTCTCAGCAGTTTTGCCTCAAGTGGAACAACCACCAGTCGAACATGCTGGCCGTGTTCGAACAGCTTTTATCAAATGAAGCACTGGTGGACGTGACGCTAGCCTGCGAAGGCCTATCGTTGAAGGCCCACAAGATGGTTCTGTCAGCTTGCAGTCCTTTTTTCCAAGCTCTCTTCATCGAAAATCCTTGCAAGCACCCTATTGTGATCATGAAGGACATGCGCTACATGGACTTGAAAGCCATTGTCGAGTTTATGTACCGGGGAGAGGTCAACGTTTCTCAAGACCAACTCTCGGCGCTTCTCAAAACGGCAGAGACGCTCAAAGTGAAAGGACTCGCGGAGGTCACCGGTGAGAACAAGCATGGTGCGCTCGTGAGTGTGGACGGTGCGGACCCTAAGCCAGTGGGCACGCCTCGTGCCGAATCTCCGCCACTTAGTAAACGAAAACGAGGGCGGCCTCGGAGACGATCGCCCAGCGATTCCAACAAGAGCGACTCCGAAGATCAGGGCGGGCCTCCGGCGACGCGCATCAAGGGACCTGAGAGCCCCGAAATAATTGAAGATGGCAGCATGTCGAGCGACCGCGTTACGACTATTCCGGCCGCTTCTCCTTCGAGTCGGACTTCTACTACTGTGGCGGTGTCTTCCACGGCTGTGTCTACGGGTGCGGTTGTCGGTTCCACTGCAAAGGCCACGAACTCTTTGGCGGCCACCTCTCAGCATACTCAGGACTCCATGGGTGATGACGTGGGGGAGGGCGATGATGCGGACTTTGAGGTGGAGCCTTCAAATCTTATGGAACAGTCCATGACGACAGAAAACGTAGGTTTTTAAATCTAAGAGTCTGTGCGGTGGACTCGCTTTTCAAGTAATCGGAGCAAGAGTTTTGAGTGTTTTGTTTGATTTTGTAGGTTCCAGTGTTCACGGAAGTTGCCTCATCACAACCACTAGGGAGCGAGTCGCAGCAGTCTCATCATACAGGGTCCACATCAGACAGTACCGCTCTTGTTCCTGTTCAAGCCTCATTGCCTTCAGACATCTCCATTTCCAGTCAAGGTGCGGTGTTGTGTAGTTTGTCTTCAGTGATCTTATTCTAATTGTTTTTGTGTGATCTATTTGCAGTGGACATTAAGCCGTCGCCTTCTAGTTTAATACCCTACGACGATCAGGCGATATCGCCCGTGGTCGCCGCCCCTCCTGCCGCTGCGGCCTCTTCTGCAGAGGGCTCCAACATGGCCATGATGTTCATGGACACGTCGGGCGTTCCTGCAATCGCCGGCCCGTCCAATTATCATCCGGACAAGCAGCAGTCGACACCATCTCATGGTACGTAGCCCTCTGACCGACCCCTTACTCCCACCTTTCCTGTCCCTCTTTCACTTCTGATTTTGCCTCACGACAATCCTAGCCTCTGCCGCGTTGGGGGTTCATCTTTATGTGCAACGTCCGACGTTATGTGCGGCGGCTACGATTGTATCAGGCGATTTCGAAGCATCGCTATCGTTATTGCATTGCCGCATTGGCACTTAACTCGTATGACACAATAGCGACGCTTCATTATTAGGTTTTGATGACTTGTTATGTATGCAATTTGCTGTATTCCTATATTGTAACATACCGTTAAGTAAAAGTTATTACAATGTGCCTCCCTTGAGAGGCTTCTCCGAAGACGCCCAATCATTTGTCAGTGTCTTGTCTCAGTTAATCATCGGCGTGAATCGCGTATGCGTTGACCCGTGCACAACAAGCAGCCCGTTTGGAGGACCATTCAAGCGTCTCGATTTGGAAGTCCTGCTGGCCACGTCGTGTCTGCAAGCCTGGTGCTATCCGCGTCGCGTCCGCATTTTTTCCTCTCGCCGACTGTGAAGCAGCCGTCCTGGGTTTTTCGAATCATTTGGTAAGTTCTATTTTTAGCCCCCTTCCCTTGAACCACATCCCTTAACCCTTTATGCGTTATTTTTGGTAGGGCCCTAGGGATTAAATTCTCGCGAAGTGAATTATTGTATTGCACTGTACCGTATTTTTGCCTATTAAAGAATGAATGGGTGGGGTTCTACTGTCTCATTGTATGAAGTGTTACACGAGCGAGCAAGAGTGACTGTACGAGTGTGTGCGTCATGAGTGATTGCGCGTTTGAATGCTGGTGGATGCGATAGTGTGGTTGCGTGAGTGCATGCTGGGCAAGTGTGTTTGCGTGAGTGAATCTTCACTTCCCCTCATTTAAACCATGATTGCTTCGCCCGATACCCATCACTACATCGGGGCAACACGTATCACTCTAACTCATGTAATAGCGACTAGTGCGCTTACACGGCGTTGTTATCGTGTCGCTATTGCACGAGTTAGCCTTTACACAGATATGGGTGGGCGCCCCAGTTGCTTGGGTGGGTTAAATCTTGTATGTAGGTGCCGAGCAAGTGGACCGGTGCTGCCTTTGCTGCTGGTAATCGGTAAGGCAGTTTAAATGTGCTGTTTTGACAGTGCTTTCACGCAGGCGAGGAGGTGCAGCGGGCCTGCTGTGAAGTCCCCACCTGAAGTCAAATTTACGTCTTCGCCACGAAAATGTTCTGCAATAAAACCATGTTTGTCTGAAAACTACTCGTGTTGTGGTCATTAAAAGTGCTCTGCATGCAATGATCGGCCACTGAAGCCGAAGCTTTCAGCACTCATTACAGCTTAACTGCATGTAATGTATAAAACCTATCACGTCTCCTTCCAGTGGGACTCAATGCGGAGTAACAAGTTGCGTAGAATAATAAACGCTGCTCTGTACTGATGCAATAACTTAAGGCACATAAATTTAGGCCCATGAAAGGCCGGAGCCCAGCCCACGAGCACTCCGGATGCTAACTTACTTCGTGGGGGCATTATCCCTACGGAAGTACACTCCATGTCGCTGGATTTGCTGTATACGGGCTCAGTACGCACTCGCGCCAGAATCTGGCGTCCGTGCGGATGCGTGTCTAGTTCAGTGTGCCTCCGAGAAGCATGTACTGGCGGTTCTGGCACCTAGAATATGGCACCCCTTTCTTTTCGTTCAGTGGTGGTAGCACGGAGGAAAGAAAGGTCCTTCCTCCGTGAGTGGTAGCGTCTGTCGAATAAAGCGTAGGCAACCTAGGTTTGAGGGTTGGCCGACAGGCTGTTGCTATTTCCAAATGGCGTAGCGTTGGTGGACCGAACGACCCTGTGGCGAAAGTGGCCCTGCGGATAAGAAATACATGCATACTTGCTCGTAATTCATAGGTTTCCTTGAGGTCTCTGCAGTGGCCTGAGTCGAAGCAACATCGGTGGTGGCTTACCTCCGTCTGGCGCGGCTACTTCACAACACTGGCAAATTTGGTATGTGGATCAAAACTAGCCCGCTGCACTTACATGCGGTAATACATAGTGCGTAACTATGACTAGCACGCTATAAAAATTGCTGCATGATGCCTAGTATGCGGTTTTAACGCAACTGTGTTAGTAGAACGCAGGAAATGGCTTCGGATTTTAACTGTTAAACATAGCGAGCAAAATTGCTAAGGACCGTTCCGTCAACCCTTGCGTGTGCATTGCTGCAGCGATGCGTTTCCCAACTAGTGCGTTTCTATCGACGAAGGTGTCGTCCTGGAACAACTTTGTATGCGTTCCTCACTTGTCAGCGTAGCTCTAGAACTATGCCTCTGGGACATTTACCCATCGCCGTAATTCACTGGGATCGTATCGTATTGAAGCAGTTGCGAGCTGAAATTCAGTTACTTGGAAGTGCTGGATAGTGTCATTTCTTTTTAACTATATCAGCTGTCATTTTCACTCGCATGGTATGACGGAGCTGCTGACTGAAATGTGTGCTGCCCTAATAATGCGAGCAGTTATTTTAGGCTCAACATAACACCTACAACGTCGCTCTGGAGAGCCTATGTTGCATAGACTTTGGGTTGCTTGGAATAGTTTTATATACGTGAACGTCACTGTACATACGTTCCTGCGTAGCTGCTTATTTTGAGAAAAGGCTCTATTTATGAGCAAAACGATAGTAGTGGAGCTTATTTAGTCTTAACTGCGATTAGTTTTTGCGTTTAGAAGCCCGCTGACTTGATTGTCTGCCTGCTACCTCGTATCATTCTAGCTTGAACTTGCGAGCAGAATGTGTGCAGGCATCTTATTTTTCTGTGTATTTTCAAGTAGCTGGCTCACTGTAAGAGAACCTGTTTGCTTCGGTAGTCATTTTACTAGCCATGTGAATGTTATTAGAAGTTTATTTGTACTGCGAAACTTTGAAACCCAGTGTTTTTTTAAATTAAGAAGTGCCTTCTTCAACTTTCTTGCAGTTGCCATTTCATTGAATAGTCCACATAGGAGGGCACAGCATTGCCGTGATGATTGTTTTTCTAGAGGATTGTGCACCAGCACAATAGATAATAATTAGATATTGCCATTTGGCCAAAGCAGTACTCGCTTCATTGAAGCTTGCTTCCTTTATGCAGTTTTCATGTTTGGTCCAACTACTTTGTTGGTTTCTTGACAAATAAAGTGCAGTTTGCTGTATGTATGTACTATGAGTTTGCTAATTGGTATGTACTATGAGGCAGGGGCCTCAATAAACATATCTAGCCAGAGCATCATCTGAGCACTGTAAAAGTTTCAGTAAACAACACTGTAAAATATTTCAGTAAACAGAAAATAAATTTTCACTTATAACTAATTCCTGCACATGCATGATCTGCCAGTTTTTCTTGTTGCTCTTCTACAACAGTATATATTATGATCATTAAAAAAACATTTCTTTTATTCTGTATATTTCCATATATTTCATTTTCTTAGAAGACACAGCAGCAACTGAATATTCTGTAATGATGTTACGCTGCAGACTAATGTTCCACATTAACATCACTGCTGATTGCATTTGGCTGCTGAAGATTTTTTCTAAATATGTGAATGAAACTTTCTTTAAAGATCTGGTAATTAAAGTGTTATGTTTTTCTGGATTGCTTTAGCTGCGACGGGTACAGATTTTTCGCATTACTCGAGTTAGTCATTAGACTTACAATCACCAATATTTTATTTACTTTTTAATTGAATTAATCTAAATGAAGTGCCATCAGCTGGGCTGAGCTGACTGCTAATTCCAGCCTGAGCCTCTTCGATTATTCGCTCGGGCGGACAGCCCAAGACATTCATGTTTCTCAAGCAGGCCCGAAGCTCCGCCCGCCTGCTGGAAGGCAGACGCAATCGCGTGCGTTTTTCCCGCATCCTGTGGGCTGCCGCGAACTCGTTCTTGAGCTGCAACGGTTTTGTGCAGGCAGCGTGCTGGCAGCCAGCAGATGACGTGCTTTTGTGCGTGTTTTTTTTTTTTTTTGTCACGTCATCTGCTCGTGAGCGTTGACTCTTCGGAGCAGAGTTTGCAGCTCGGTTTGATGATCTTGTTTGATTGGCCGCTTTCATGTTTGTTAGACATGCATTTTAGTTGTAACCTTACCATGTTTAGGATGGTGTTTCCTAACGCCATGAAATATTTCTTTAAAGAGGTGCAGATGGAAGTGTGCCCTGTTTGTAAGAATGGAGGCTTTTTGCTGCCCGATAGTAGCCCCATATGAACAAAGGTAAGACATTTTATTGTCGTGCGAGTAATTTTTGTGTTGCCTACATCTAAATTCTTGCCTTCTTGCAGTGAAGCTTGCCTTGGTTGTAGCTTCATTCGAAATTAAATAGCCGGTGTATGTGAATGGGACAGCCGTCAACATCTCTGATGATGTCTCGAGTGTCGGCTTCCACCCCTGGCGTTGAAATGCATGCTTTTTCGTGCAACGTCGTCTCTGTCTAGCTTCTTGATCTTTCTCGCTCTGATAGCCAAGAGCACGACACATTGGGAAGTGCAATGTCGACTCCACTCACGTAAAATTTGTCCACAATGCCGTGCATTGTAGTTTGAGTGCTGAAATAGCTCACTTCGTTCAGCACGGCCTTCCCAGCTGACACCTTCATTCGTTCCATGCAAGCATTGCAGATGAAAGGCATATCTTTCAATTTATTATGCAAGATCCACATATGTACTTTTCGACAGCCAAAACATTTTTTTTCTCCACTCCAGGTCTACATATGCTGGTACAACCTGCTTGATGTATAACGGAACACAGTGTCATTCTTACCTCATTACCCGGGCCAACAAGCTGATGGTGTGATGCTCCCCAGCATCCTCTTCAGTCGCGTCGTAAGCATGCAGCATCGCAACGGTCTCATTTGCCGAATCCTTCGTGTTTACAGATTGACGATGTAGCAGAGGACACAGCAAACATGATTGCGCTAGCGTGATGATGATGATGATGCTGCGGGCAACGGCTGCGAGGACAGTCTCGGTGGTCCCGACGCTTGCCTGAGAACTTAGCCTCTTGTGACGGTTACGTATGGTTGACGTCATTTCCTGTCTGAGAGGAATCCTTGGGCTGCCAACGGCCTACCCGAAAAGCGAAAATCGAAGAGGCTTACTGTTCGGTGAGCGTTATGGCTTTCAGGTTCTTCATTGGCGTTAATTGTTCAAGTCTGTTCATCCACATCCTCTTAATTGTAATCCACAAATCATTTTAATATATATGTCACTGTAACGAAAACAGTTCAAAGAAAGTTGCTCTCTTACTTTACGGTAAAAGCTTTTACATCCGAAGAAAGACTGAGTACTGAGATTATACATAAAATTTTTGAAAATGCATCAAAATTCTCTAAATAGAGGAAATATTTTCAAAAATTTTATGTATAATCTCAGTACTCAGTCTTTCTTCGGATGTAAAAGCTTTTACCGATTGAAGGTTCGGGAAGACAGATACTGCAATAAATATCTCTTGTCTAAAGGGAATATTTTTTTTCCATCTCATCAGTCAGAGAAGTATACTCTATCAGAATTTATTAAAACTCCAACGCTGACAAGATCATACAGTGAAATGTCAGTGGGATAGTGGTTCATGTTTGTGCACTGTTGCTCACTGTGAATGCAGGGGCGGCGCCAGGATGTTTTCACTGGGGGGGGCAACCACAAAAAGTGAGTTCCTCTGGGGGGGCAAGCTAGCTCTGCTCCTACTAGGTTTTCAATATATGCTTTCGGGCACTTGGGTGGGCATAGGGGGGGGGCAGGCGAGAATTTTGGGGGGGCTCCAGCCCACCCTTGCCCCCCCCTGGCGCCGCCCCTGTGTGAATGCATGCACATCATGCGCTGCGTTTTGGCATAGTTTTACTAGTTGCTGTCAAGGAAACGCTGTTTATCATTGTAAATTCTCTTTATTTTTATACAACATTAAAATAAAGTGAGGATGCCTAATAAGCACGGTCAACTAATCAGCACATATTATAGTGTACCTAAACAAGAGCATACTATGGTCAGCAATCTGAACAACTCATCTGCACAGTATGAAGATTTGTCTTCAAGGTTGCACAATGTGCCATTTTTTTTTGTAAGATTCAGTCACGATTAAAAAAAATACAAATTGTGAAGAGAATGCTTGATACCACTAGTATAGTTTAACACATTCTGACTAACGGGTGGTCCACATAACAAATCAGCATTCATAAGTGTAACCAACAACAAGACAGCAGGCAATGTCACTGCATGTATTGGGAATACCAAAGGAGCAATGGAAGCATTTGCTCTGGCCACTAGCCCTGCTGAATGTCATAGTGTGTTCTGTGCTCCAGGCTCGAGTGCCGTGTGAGAGCCATTTCGTGGGTGATGACCGAAGGTTAGGTCACAACATTAAGTACTCTTTGCAATAGTGTGACTATCAAAACTGTTATTGAAATGAAACAAAATGAGAAGGCTTAAAGGGGTGGTGCCATCATATTTCGAGGCTATAGCAAATTTCCTTTGTATGCAAGAGCACTCCACACAAATGGTTGGACACAGCAAATGTTTAGAATAATAACTCAATTCCAAAGTGAACCTGAATTTACATTTTCCCGATTGAGACTCATCACCAGCCAATTCAACACTGACGTAGCTCTATAGGAAGGGCAACGAAAGTTGTAATGACGCCACACCAGATTTGTAGTGACATGAGTGTCCTCCAGATCTCCTCAACATACATACCGGCAAAGCATTGGTTGGTACATCAGTTGTGGCTGCTGCAGCTAGCCATGGCAACTGTTGGCATATTTATTTTGCTGGTGCTTATATGGCACTGGAGTAGGAGTGATACTCAGCACGACGCGAGTCACAGCTTTGTGTGGTCGCATGATTGGGCCACCCACACTGCTACGTCACTGCCCAACTCTGTACCCAGAAACTGAAACCAAAAGTTTTCCATGTTATTAGGGCAGTATTAAATTACTTAGGGAAAGCACATGAATCTTGGTGCATGTATCATGCTTCTTTGAGTTATAAGAAATACTTGCAGCCAAGAACGCGTAAGCCACAAACATGGTGGCACCACACCTTTAAGGGGAGATGCAAGTTGAAAAATTGCGTTTTTAGCGAAATTTGTCGTATTTCTGGTTTTTACTGAATTGTAATCCTCAATCCTTCTTCTATCATTTGTGAAACTTTCAATACCAAACTCGAACAGAAAAATGCAAAATAATGTGCATAAAGGCGTCGCGGTGGCTTGAAATTTCGCGAATTTCCGCTAATATTGGCCACTTTTGAATGCGTGCTGCTCCCCGTTGCAGCGCCGCCCGGCGTAGCGACCAGTTGGGAAAGTTGCGTTCAGCCCTCTTCTTACAGCTTCGACGACCACCAGTTTCGTACGTGAGCAAGAAAATATAAAAAACAAGGTTTTTTTACCACGTGGTTTGAGCAATTTACCGAGTCAGTGTCGGCGGTGACGGCCATTGGCATTTGGTCCGTCTGCTTATCTGCGTGTATACGCATATTTCTGCAATGACAAGCCCGAAAAAGTGCAATGAGAGACCACAGAAGTTTCAAACGAAGCACAAGGGAAAGCGGCGCAAAGTGGGTTGAACGATGGCGATTAAAGAGAACAAGCCTACGTGTGCTAGGCCTAGCGGCGGCATCGACGAGTGCCCGAGTGACAGTGGCTGCAATGAAGGGATCAATGCTGCGCTTTCTTTCTTCAGTGCCTCGGAAAAAAAGATCGGCTTGTTCGATAAAGACAAAAGATTGTGCGGTGAGGTTTGTGGGACGACAGTGTTGTGTGACACGCTCTTGCTGACGCCACTTGTGGCGGGTGATGTGTGCCTGGTTTGCGGTAATAAACAACTTGCAGTTTCGGGAGCCAGCACAAAAGCACAAGGAACTTGTGTCGCTCCTCGAACTTCATTGTGAAAACGGCGAATGCTTAGCGACTGTACTTTCGTGCTCTTATACGTCGCCGCGTGTTACGGCGAACGGCAGCAGTCTGGCGAGCCAACGGTACGACAACGGGAGCTCCCGGGATAGTTTCGCCGTAAATGTGAAGGCGGTGGTGGCTGCACCCGCTGTTTGCATCGGGCATGAACAACTGTCGAGATTTTGCTCCACCATTGGACTCGCAAAGCCAATGCACCACTGAGGATCTTTTTCAATAGCCAAGAAAGTGCACACCGCTGCCATGGAAGCTGTGAGTGAAAACTTGCTCCAATCGAGACAACTGACAAAAAAAGTAGCAGGCGAAACTGATGTGGTTGTCGTGTTCGATGGGACTTGGCCGAAGAGGGGCCACAAAAGCCACAACGATATTGGCACAGTTATCTTTTTAGATACAGGCCTCTGCTTGGAATTTGAGGTCATTTCAAATTTCTGCCTGACATGCAGTTGACACAAGGATATGGGCCCTGACGAGGAAGTTTGGCAGGCATTCCATGGACCAGTCTGTGAAAAAAATGCAGACTGCTGCTCCCATGCTGTAGGAATAGAGGCTGCAATGCGCATTTGGTGGAAAACGTTGAGTTCTGAAACTCCATTGCGTTGCATGAAGTTCTTGAGTGACGGTGATAGCAAAGCATATAGTGCAGTTGCCGAGTCAAAAGTCTATGGGGCTCTCAATATAGAAAAAGAAGACTGCACTAATCATGTGGCCAAAAGACTTGGCACTGCGCTACCGAAGTATCACGTGCCATTACCACAAGGGCAGAAAATGAAAGAGCCGACCATTCAGAAGCTTCATACGTATTACAAGATTGCTATAACAAGCAACAGGGGTAGTCTACGAGATATGTACACCACAGTATGGGCTTCATACTTTCATTCATGCTCTACGGACAATGCTGGCAGTCACAACTTTTGCCCTGCAGGAACACACTCGTGGTGCAAACATAAACGTACTGAAGCATTTGGCGAACCTGCACCATGCTACACACCTCTTCTTCAAGCCCAGGGATTGGCTGTTCGGCCCATTTATAAGCAACTGACAGATGAGAAGCTCCTTGCTCGATGCATTCAAGGGAAAACCCAAAATGCATCGGAATCCTTGAACAGCAAGATGTAGCTACTTTGCCCCAAGACCAAGTTTGTCTCCCGAACAGTTGTCGAGACTGCCACAGCTATCGCAATCCCGTGGTTCAATACGGGTCATGCTAGTTTCGAGCACATCCTGAAAGAGCTGAACATACTCCCATCTTGAGATCTAGTTGCTTTCAGTGATTCCTGCAATGCGAAGCGCATCAAGAAGATGTCCAAGCGTTTGATAGCAGAAGCAAGGGCCCACCGTCGTCGTGGAGTGAAAAGGGCACGGCTCGAAGAGTGTGCTCGCAAGGACCTTGAAGGCACAACCTATGCTGCAGGACAGTTCTAATAACTTGCAGTGCTTCTCAAAGTTCTCATGAACATTATGGCCAAAGATTATGCATTTCTGACAACTATATGGTAAAAAAATTTTTTTTTCAAACTTTCAAATGCATTTTTTTTCTTTTGCAGTTTTGTGTGATTTTTGCTGCTTATGCACACTAGTTAGTTTACTTAGAATTGTCACAACTCTACGAAATTTTGCACATAGCATGATGAAGGCCTGTAGAGTGCAAGTATCTATTTTTATTTCCAATGCTGCTTGGTTATGTTTTCAAAGTATTACATAACATTGAAAGCCCTTGGCAACTAGAGCCATGGTAGATTTTTCTATTTTATTGTTGTATTTTACCTTTTTACACATGAAACTTGCATAGTTCTCTGCACTCTACGCAATTCCAAAGGATCATAGTGAGCTATATCTGCATGCTCTATCTCAAAGTTTTATAGGTCAGAATTATCGCATAACAATGGCCCTAATTTCGCAGTATCTGAACTGCAGAAATAAAACCAAATAAGCTACATGAAAATAAAGGAAAATAAAGAGGAGAAAAACTCGTTTAGCATGCCAATTTGTATTCAATTCAGACTCTTATTAAAGAATCTCATTTTCCGAGTAGCATCTCCCCTTAAGTAGCTGTACCAGTGCAAAATTTGAGAGAGAATGTTAGTCTTCTTCACGGCATGAGTATGTTCTCTTGTGCAAGTTGATGATGTGTATGCTGTGCATTTTTTTTTCTCATTTAGGTGTGAGTGTTTCACAAAAAGGACAAGCTATAGCATATGAACACAAGACAAAGAAAATATTCAGTGTATGTGCTGATGGCGAAAAGTGCAATTGCACACCGACAAGACAAAGACAGACATACTACATCAAGATGACCTGCATCAGGACAAATTGGAGACAAGACAGAGTGTCCATTTTATAGCTGCATTTATTTTGCACCCTATGTACACAAATTTAACTACCTCTCGCTTGTTTACTGTGAAAATCTGCTATTGGCATGCGATTCAGTTCTTGGTCTCTCCTTCTAAGTAGAGAGCTGACTGTTTCTTTTTAATTGCAGTTGCCAGAAAACTAAGCGACTATATGAAGCAGTTCTGTCACGTATGGATAATCTCCTGCTTTTGTGGATAGGGATATAAGCCATACTGGCTGATTTGGAGTCCATAGAATAAACTTGTAGGTGCTATGCGGAAGAAAAAAAAGACGAGTTGTGAATAAATATTAGGTCAAAGTAAGCAAAAGGATTTAAATTTGTGAGTTTCAATACTTAAGAAAGGCAGGAAAAATGGTTTACACAAAGATTATTACAAAAACAATGCTTGTAGGCTTTATATGGTGCTGACTTTTATATTACACTGATCAAGAGGCGTAGGAAATAATGCATGATGATACTACAAAGCTTTTTTTTAACAGTGAATTGAATGAAAATGCACTTGGATGATTGTGTTAAAAATTGCTCAACTGTCATAGTTAAGCTAGTATTTTTGTATATAAGACAGTTGCGTGTGTGACTTGGTTATAAATTAATTTTAAAATTTAGGCCCATTAGAGGATTGTTGACACGAATTTTGCAAATTTTCGTATTGTTGCTTTGAATAAAAACATTGTTGATGATTCTAAAGGAGTATTGTGGCACCTTGAAACACACTAAATATATCTTCAATATCACAGCCTTAAAAAACAGTTTCGGTTTCAATGTCAAGGGAGCGGTTTCACAGTGACGTGTGATGATAGTCTGACATGGGTCCAAGCCTCATGGGGACATCATCTCATGGTGTGCTTGCAGCAGCCATGCCGTCTGCTGTCGTGTGTACATGGTGCATTGTAAACAGCGATGAGTCATCTGGAGACTCTAACAGTGAATTCAGTGGCATGCAGAACACAGTTCGCCAACTCAGTGAATGTTATGTTGACTCGATGTGATAATGTTCATTGCAGCGGCGTTGGCTTGCAGGTACTGTGGGATAAAAACTACTTAGTCAAACTGAATTATTTTATACATGTTTCCTGGCTCCAATGCACGAAGAGTTCGGCCCTGCTTGCCAAGGAAATAAAAAAGTATTCTTTTTACAATGCCTAAAAATTGTGTCAGTACTACTTTAAGCCACTGTGTGAGATGTTATTGTTTGATTTGCCATACTTAGGTGTGCATGACTGTATTACTTGTTAGCCACTCAGTTTGGGTTAATGTGGAAGAACTTGGATTTTAGTGCACATTTGCTACATTAATAAATTACAATTACATATTTTTTGTTAGTTATATTTGGGAAAGATAGCTAGGCAGGGGGTCTCTTCAATAATTGTATAATAAGTGCATCTGCCTGTGGGCTATTGAAAATAATCCTAACCATACTTGCTAACCTATGTGGAATCCTGGCTTTAAAGGAAATACTGCTGAATCTGAACAAGCCTCTTAGTTAATTGATTTTATGTTTGGATAACACATAAAATCTTTCGTTCATTCGAAACATTGTCTTTGCAACTTTCTATATATAAAAATAAGAAGCAATTCGTTAATAATTTCATCAAAAGAGGGACGCACTGAAATGTATTCTTCTGACATCTGTCTTCTCTCCAGACAGGCATCTCTAAAGCTCTCCATGCTCAACTTCATGTTATTCAGCCACCTATTGGAGCATTCACAGCTATGTTTTGTTTATACGTCACCAGAACTTGCTTGAAACTGATACCAGCATAACTGGTCCCTCAATAATTGTAATGCATGCTTTATACTACAAAACAAGTTTGTTTAGATGTCTCATTGGCCTGCAGACTGAACGCTATTGAGAGTGCATGTAGTTGAGCCAGTTAGTTCTGCATGTTGACTTGGTGGATGCGGTTTAAAGACGTGGACGAGGAACAGACAGTATAGTGCCCTGTGTGTGTCCCGTCTCTTGTTTGTCCACGTCTTCAAAATGCATCTGCTTCGTCGACTGTTGTGAGGATGTATATGTGTGTCGATGTTGAACCTATGCATTCCTTTCTTTTTAAACGACTCTCCTATACTTGAAACACAATTTTCTCGTCTCATTGGGATTCTATTTAACGAGGTTCTACTTTGATCTATCATTCAATGCAGATGGCTTTTATTTTATATTTCCTGTGAGATAGGACTGCCCCATAGTAGACATTGTGCAGTGAACGGGAGCTTAAGTGAGATGGGGTGATGTAATGCCTAGACGGTGAACCAGCATAAAGCGCTGCCGAGTGTCTGTGATCCAAGCTGCCTCCGTATTGATCTTCCATAAATGTGCAATAAGTGCTCAAAGAGCTTTAAAAAAATTTTACCTTGATGCCTTCTCACTTAGCTGCCTTGGCAACATTGTTTTGTTATATTCACTCATAGTACTAGAAATCGTTGTGTTACATTTATTTCATAGCCATTTGTGTATGTCACTTGCAGGTTCCCCTCCCTGATATGGCCCTTGAGGTGCTGTACAGGATAATCTGCTGATATTTCTGGCAGAAATCACCAGGCGTCCATGACTCCTGCAGTGGCCTTTGGGAGAAAGCACTGACACCTGTGTTTTAAATACCTCGGGACATTTTTGAACTTGTCATCTGGCAGCTAACCAGCAGAGATTTTTAAATACCTCGGGACATTTTTGCACTTGTCATCTGGCGGCTAACCAGCAGAGATTTTCTTGTCATTGTTGAATGCTCTTTGCAAGCCTGTAGCTGTTTCTCAACTTGAATGTGGTGCTACATTCACATCATTGCGTAATTGTTCGGTGAACATGATAGATTAAAAGGCTCAGTTCTTTTCTTTAAGGAAAAAAAATTCACTTATGGTTTTGGTTTGCAATAGTGCAGCACCTTTGCAGTGTTGCTATTTAGTCTCACACTTTCTCCTACTTCCCACACATGCGAGACCCTGCGTATAAACCTACCATCATATGACTGTTGAAATTTGCTATATGCATTAATGCTAGGCCATGTTTATGCTGTGGGCACTATACTAAGTTTGTGAGGAGGGCAAGAGTAAATAAAAACAGTTGAGAGTCACTGGCTGAACCTTGATGAAAAATATCGTCTCAACAGAACTGCATCAAGGTATGTTTTCGTTACAGTGTCTGGTAGAGATCACGATTAATTAGTTTAGCGCGTAACACAGTGCCCATGCATGAATTGCTAGCACATCTTTCTTTCGGCACATGATATGTAGGGTACTGGCACTGGTTACCCTTTGAAGGGGCAGACATCTAAACGCTGTTATACTTTTGTAGCATTTTTAGTTTGCCTACTTGTTTCTAATGTCCTTAGAAGTTTGTCTTCACTACAAATGCTATGTTACGCTTTTTCAATCCATTGCACCAACACTGGCTTGCAATTTCTATGTTCCCCAATTTTATGCCGTCTTTGGCGGACTGATGCATAGTTGTCTTGAGCATACATTTGTAGATTATACTAAAATGGGGGCCTAGCTCTTCATTTGGCCCACTCTGGGGCATTTATAAATGAAAATCCATACACCACTGTCACCATCGCCTTTCAGCATGGTCAAGGAGACTATGTATGTGGTTGCTATGGTTAGGGCTGTACACGGTGGGCACTGGCAGGCAACCTTGTAGTCTCAATTGCGCGTCAAGCATGGCCAGGCTTTTGCTGCTGCGTTCACAAAAGGCCTCGGACAGTGTCACACTGTGTTTGTGGACTAGTTTAACTAAACAGAAGGTAACACATTTTCTCACCTGCTACCATGCTTTGCTGGAAATGTTAGTGTTTACTTTATTTCATTTCATTGATTTTTCTCGCTAACAAGGTTAGAAAAAAAAAATGAGGCCGGCAAAGAAATGTTAACGAAAATGTACGTGCTACAGTGCGTTTCATAGACACTGCCGTGTGAAGCAGATGACAGCATTCAAAGATTCATGCTGCCCACCCTGGAACGCCAAAGCAGACGATATAGGCAGGGGAAAGTGACTGCAGTGCCACTAAGTTTTCAGGGTTTTTCGCATCGACCTCACCACTTGCCCCTGGCTCCAGTGGGCCCGCTTCTCGGATCTAGTACAATCGATATGTGTTAGTAGCAGTGCTATCTGTTACGTGCTATGCCGGTTGGATTATCCTTAGTACATCGGTCTAGTACTAGCCTGCAACACAACGTATATGCCGCTTCTATTTTTGTTGCAGAGTTCAAACAGCCAGTCAACATGCATTGCTTTATATGCGAATATGTGAACTGGTGCATTCACAGGGCTAGTATTGATTCTCAAGTATGGAAAAAGGGACTGTCAAACATTTTGTCATATTTTTTTCACAACTGCAGACAAAAAAAGTATCCGTGCACCACCCTCATTATGTTTCCATAGGCTAAGAATCTTTGGACATGAAATGTGCTCAATTTTATTTGGTTGTGGTAGTTTAAAATGATGGATGTGGTTTGTGTACTTGTCAAGTTCTATCAGAGAACAAACTGTTAATAAACTTGTGGACAGTTTTATGAAAATCTGCTTTTTTGTGGAATGTATGTCTTCATGTGGGACATTTATTTCCTAGGATATTTAGGTTCTATGCTGTTTGAAAGGTTCAGTGATATTATGCTTTCAAATACTTCTACAGGCTCAGTGATATTACGTTTTCAGATATTTCTACATTATCTTTATGGCTATGCCAAGTTACTGTGCAAGTTATGACTGAGAAAGGACTAGATTAATTTTGTGAAAGCAACATTGAAAGAGTGCTCATGGATTTATTGGTGAAAAGACGAGCATTACATTTTCAAGCTAAAGAAAAAGTGTTTGTGTTTGTTCCTGCAACTTAACTTGTCTCGACAGTTACGAATTTGCTAAAATCGCTCGTGTATTATGTGTCTTGAGGTCATCTTTTATTGGAATTACGTGAAACCGAAGTTGTTCACCTAGAGGTTATATTGAGGGCATGAAGGACCTAACATAATGCGTCAGTGTTGTTACATAGTGATGATATATTCACTGACTGAGGTCCAGTAAGGTAACTAAAATTGTTTGTATACACACTCCCCATAGTGTGACACTGGCTGCAATATTATTCGCCCACCAGTTCAGCAATATCAAACTGTCAAACATATTGTATGATGGTTGTGACTGTGGCGTTACTTTCAGCCTTTAAAATCTATTACCAGAAAGCTTGTAAGAGAACAGGTATGTCAATAATCATGAAAAGAGAAGGAATGATAGAGAAGGTAAATTTGTTCTAAGGTTAACATAAAATTTTCTGAAACAGGAATTGAAGATGCAAAACCTTATTCATTGTTGTATTATTTATGCACTGTTCAATACCGTAAAGAAAAGTAATTTTATTTCACAAAAACTGCTTTGACCATATGCGGTCTGAAAACTTTACCCTCTTTACATATGTTCTAGTCTAAAACAGACAAAAAGCAGCACTTAACTAAAAGAAATTTAGTTATTCTTTCATAGGTGACGCTGTGAAGTGAGAAAGAGCATGTTTGAATCCGCTACAGAAGAGCTTGTTCAGCAGTGCCCGACAGCGAACTTCTGTCATGGTGTTATGTTGTCCGGAGGGGCCCCGCCAACGGATTGCAGAGGTTCAAACTTAGTATATGGACGCTGTGATTTGACCATTGTGCGCTAATATAGGAACAACAGCTCATGGCACATCAGAGTAGGGGCACTATTTGAGCAGGTGCACTTGGTGTAACAATGCAAGTCATTAACTTTGGTCAAAAGTCGGGAGTGATCTTGTACCACTAGTTAAGATATTTACAATTTATTCACCCATATGCAATGTCTTTGATAAAGAAATGCCACAGTGGGTGCCTGGGTGCCTGTAAGTGTGACAGGGGCACTTTATTTAAGAGTTGACTTGACGAGTCACTATTATGTGAGATAAGTTTAATGTGTTTATGAAGTTTTAGTTTACTGTGTTAATGAACATATCACAGTGATTTCTCGCTTTGTAACATTTACATTTGCAAACTTAGTGTACGTAGCCATATAGCCCAGCTGCTCAAATGTCATTTGTCTGGCTGCTGTTCCTTTTTTTTTGTAACAACGAAAAAACAAAAAGAAGCTTGGAGCATTCTAATGCGTTGCTAAATTTACAGCAGAAAGTGCTATTTGCTCCGTCGCTGTTCCAGCACTTCCTTTTGTTAGTATATCTGACATATTGAATCTACGCTATTGATGAAACTCTGTCTTTTTTTTTTGCATAGTGTGTCACCTGGCCGAGCTCAACTCAAGCAGCCTTAAACCAGACTCTCTCTGTGTGCCTAGTTAAAAACAAACATTGGCTACTGTGTAATCAAGTTTTCAATATCACTTTATTTATGCACATTTTATTGAAATTTGTTATCTCTGCACACAAACTAAGTTGCTTTGCTGTGCAAAATAGCGAATTTTTTACATGAGTTAGCAGAACAGGCAAGCTTGTTTTTTCTGGAAGGTTTTCACCAGCACATGACATCATTCACATTTGCTGATGAACCAAGAGGCTTAAGTGCTGTAGTTAAATATATTAACATTGCATATTAGGACAAGCAATCTATATGTGGGGATTAACTCCCCAACACGACCATATGATTATATGATAGACGCTTATATTAGGAGAAGAAAAGGGGTGAAGTCCCCATTCACTGTTAACTGTATTATATTTTATTGACCATATATGCAAATGTCAGAAGTGATAAAAAAATAGAGGAGACGTGGAGATGAGCACATAAATTACATTTAGAGAATGGGTACCATTCGTACTTGTGAAAGAAGCAAGCTTTCTTTAGTTTGTAGTGATGCCATTGGTGTGTACATGTCGTCTTTTCTGAAAAAGGAGTGGTGCACTCTTGCCCCTCTCTTCTTTGTCTTTCGAAGCTTTAATATCTTGCCTACTGTGCAATGAAGTCTTGTTGACAGTTCTCTGTTCCTCTCCTTTTGTCCATAACCATACTTGGGTTTTATTTTAAAAGGGGATTTACAAGAGTAATGGTGGCCATTGTAATATATTCATTTCTTTATGCAACTTGAATCAAACATGTTGTTGACAAACAATAAGGTAAAGAACAATGTGTGTCAATGTTTACATATTATAATGGCATAAATGAGTGGTGCTGAATAGTGTATCACCCCACGTGTCATGTGGGGGCTTGACAGAGTATACTAGCCCAGCTTCGGTCATGACCAGACTTTTGTTTGTCCTGTCCTCTGCACTGTCACTCCATTTACCCACATGCGACAAACATACCACAGCCCTCTTCTACAGATTAGGTACTAACTGAAGTGGCTATGCACACGCGAGAGCGTAGAAACTGTAGTGGTACAATTATGGCAAAATGGCTGGCACACATTTGTGCATCCTTTTTGTCTTTCAGTAACCCACGGATGGCAAACTCTCGGGGTAGCTGCACGACCATATCGAGGCCCACCTTCTGCTTCAACTAGCTCGGTGCGTCGTCCGCACTGGTGCAGTGTGTGCAATAAGAGCTACAGCAGCGCTGCAAAGCTGAGGCGACATCAGACAATGCATTATCTGCAGCGAAAGTTTTATGAGTGTTCGTACTGCCCACGACGTTACTCTTGGATGGAGACACTGCATGTCCACATAAAACGTGCTCACAGTCAGAACATGTCAGCCTGGCAGCAGTAATGGCAATTGTTATTAATGAGCCTTATGATGGATTATTGTTATGAAGACAAAATTAAATACCAAATGGTTATCAACTATGCTGGTGCACTAGCTATATTGTGCAACATCCGAGTTATATGGCACTTTTCAACAGTTGGGTTAATGCACCTCTGTCTGTTTTGGGTAGGTACTCTGAGATAACTTGGCTTCTTGTTTTCATAATCGTTGCTTTTTGCAAGTTCTTTTATTCTTTTCTTACTGAAAAGTTGAGCTGCAGGTTGTAGATGCTTATCTTTGAATGTAATGCATTACTGTTTTTATGATCTTATAGAAGCTTCACTCATTCATTGCTAAATTTCATGACTTGCTGTTTCCTGGTGTAGCATAACACTGCTCTTGGTGAAGCTTACCTGTTTGCTGTTCTGTAAGTGTAATTGTGGCATGGTATCTTAATGTAGCATATGCATGGCTGTAGTTGCAATGGTATATTTTGAATTACACTTAAAAAGCATTACTTAAAATACCTGATGCAATCTTGAGGCTTGCAAAAGGCTGTTGGTAAGCTTTGTAATATCTGAGTGTTTAGATATCTAAAAATGCTAATTTTTATGTCAGGCAGATTCTTTCAATGGTGTGGCAGAAATATCCTCTTTTGATGTGACAAGAAAAAAAAAGAAAGAGGTTCAAGAAAAGTTTGTGCAATTTATTGTTGGGACCTAAACAAGACATTTATTCTTAACAGCTCTGAAAATTAAACTGTATGTTTTAAGAGTGCATGAAAACCTGTGTATCCATAGAGGAGGGCCGATATGGTGTTGAGGTGGAATGCCAGTGTTGCCACCTTAGAAATGCTGTTTTCACTTGTGCTTCTGTCCACAGAGAGTCTCTGTGTGTGTGAAAGTTCTTGTGACAATGGTTGTAAACTAGCATTAGTCCTGTCATGAAAGAATCGGATGGCGAAGTGTTTAGACGGACAGCACCCTGTACAGCAGCAACATGCCGTATTTACTCTAATGTAACACGAGCTTTTGCTACCTCAAGTCAGCCCTTGTGTTATAATCAAATATGAAATTCAAGTTATCCAAAAAGTGCAGTCATGCACTCAATTTTTTTTATGTTTTTGCAATTATATGGACATTCTTAACGAGTTCTTGCTGTCGGTTTCTGCGTTACCGTCATGTTTCGTATAACGTTTGTGTTCATAACGTCCTCCCGCGCATCGTATGTTTTTTTTTACCCCTGAATAAAAATGCCTGAGTGGGGTCAATAAGCACAGATGAAGCACAGGTTAGACGAGTTGGTCCATTTCAATCGTTTGGAGGGTGCATGCAATAATCCCCCCCACCCCCTTTTCCTGCCCGTGTGTCAGACATACCGGCAAATGCTCAAGCAGAGAGTAAACGCCCTGGCTTTTGAGCAGCAGCTCTGAACTTTGATCTTTGATTCGAAGGGCGTGGTCATCATCGCTGGTGCTCGTGCTATCTTGGTAGGCGACAGTGGTCGACTCGTATGCTAATCTACGTTGCCCTATCAACGCAAAGAGAATGTGCGAAAAGAACATCTCTTTTTGGAGCGTGCATATTCTCTTACCGCAGTGTTTTGTAAAGTTACGTGATGTTGGACCCGAAGGAGTTAGCTGCCCGCCTTGCTTCATATAATATCACAATTTGTTGCGGCCACATTTGTTGCTTTGCCCCTGTAGTGACTGATTTTTTTTTTCTTCCCTGATTCAATGAAGAAATTACCCCTTGCTTTAAAATCATGGTCGCCTTACAATCACGTAAATACGGTGTGCCAGGTTAGCCATAAGATGTAATTAAATTGCATCTACCATAGATGGCCAATGTGAGTGTTTTCGTGTGCACTATAACATGTAGGGTGGCCTGTTTC